CCTCTGCTAGTTTAGTTAAGTTAGTCCCATACTCTTCTAGTGTTGGCATTTTGCTGTTTCCGCTGCTTCCCCCACCAACGCTTGCTGTGACTTCATTGTTTTCCCCGACCATGCGTATAACCTGAAAATGATAAATGTATCTCAAAATGTAATAACGAAATGGTTTACTAAGACATAACATTAATCTTAGAATCCAGATTTGGTGCATTTACCTGTGTCCGGATATTACTAGGATCTGCACCCAAATTCTCCAAGACACGAGCTGCCACACCCTCCCCTTCACGAAGTAGACCAAGCAAAAGGTGCTCTGAACCAATGTAGTTATGCCCTAGATTTCAAAATAGCAAAACATTTCCCAAATGGAGAAGAATTAGTTAGCTTCATCAGTCAAGAAAGCTTATGTATTGCACAACACATAACAAGCTCCAAGGCTAAATATTGATAAATAGAAACAGATCCATACCAAGTTGTCGAGCTTCCTCTAGTGACAACTCCAGTACTCGTTTTGCGCGAGGAGTAAATGGAATCTCCACTGCCACAAATCCACTGCCTCTCCCAATTATCTTTTCCACTTCCACGCGTGAATCTTTAAGATTGATCCCCATGGATTTAAGAACCTTGGCGGCTATCCCAGTCCCTTCTCCAATTAGACCCAACAGTATTTGCTCAGTTCCAACAAAGTTATGGCCAAGTCTCCGAGCTTCCTCTTGAGACAGCATTATGACTTTAATTGCTTTCTCGGTAAAACGCTCAAACATTGCTTTGGGTACACATCGGCTAGCCTTTTCTCTCCGAGATGATATTGCACGTTTAAACTTAACAAGGAAACCTGGACTAGGCCTTGCCATATAATCTAATGCACTGGGGGCCCTTAACCCTGAAAAACTCTGAATTTTCAGAACAGGTGCTTGTAAACTGCACATCATCTTCACACACCCTCTTGGTTTTCTGTATTCTTTGGCCTGAATTCTCAGACCAGGTGCTTGAAAATTGCACATCATCTTCACACACCCTCTTGGTTTTCTGTATTCTTCGGCTTGCACATGCCTTCCGGGACCAAATAAAGGAGCTTTCAAAACAGCTACACACCAAGCCATGATGTGTTGGAGGCTGCATTGGATAATGGTAAAACATCAGTTCTAGCACAATACTGGCTTAAACCAAAATACAATAAAACACAGAGATAAAGTTTGGCCTTTTATTCAGTGCAAAGATGATTAGAAAACACAAACATCATACAAAGACAAAGTTACACGCAATCAGAAAGCTATGTTCAGTAAGTGTAACAAATGCCAAACACTGATACTTAGATACTATCTAACCAAAACAGAGAACAAGAAAAGACACCAACTTTGGGAAGTGTTACCACAACTCTAAAAGACAGAAAGACTTTAAGCTAATTCTCTTAAACACGTTTACAGAAAGAGCTCAGACACAAAAATACACTATTTGAATTCACCAACTAAGAGCAGAAAAGAGTCACAAAGCTTTCTTATCTCCAAACTCCAAAGCAACGCAAAATGATAAAGTCTATTTCACTACAAAGCAAACAAGTAATCATCTTTGAACAAATCGATACGCGAATACACAACCCTAATCTCAAAAGTAATCATTTTTGCATATCAATACAACCAAATGAGAAGTACCCAGATTCTGCAAACTCAAAATGAAACCACCAAAAGAAACGAAACCAAACGCCATGAGAAATAGAGAGAAAAAAACTCAACCTTTAAAAAGCTCATACAACAGAGAAACAGAAACCTAAAAGCTTCTTCAATGAAACACAACAACAAATTTAAAAAACAGACTGAGAAAGAGAGTGAGTGTAGCAAAGAAAAGGGTTTTTACCGTCGACGCCTTTGGATAGAGAAGTTCGAGAAAGCGAGAGACTCCTTTTAATGGTCGGCCCGTCTGGGGATAGAGATAGGAAAGTGAAGAAGATACAAAGAGATTCTCACTATTCTCTCTCTTTTTATCTCTCTCGCGTCGCCGCCCTTGATAGATTAAACACACTCACCTACCAAAGTTGCATATCAGCCGTTAGATTCTTCAAAAGTCTTTTACACCCTCGGATTTAACTACTTTCTAATGAGTCAACCTCAATAAGAATTTTGGTCCCAAAGATAAGGGTTTGTGTTGAGTTTGAGACCGGTTTTGTCCGAATACTCCGTCAAACCAAAACCAAACCGATTTATCATATTTTTTTCATATCATCTAGACATCTACTTTCATTGGCTGGAGAGAGAGAGAGAGAGACAGAGATTGTAACGGTGTCGTCGTCGCCAAACGATTTGCCTCTCTTCCTGAAGGTTCTTGATTTCTCTCAGTGCCCTTTTGCGTGCTTCAGCTTCTTGTTTACGATCTAATTCATTTCTGTGTTTCGTTTGATTCTTTGTTCGATTGTGAATTGAGAAAATGGCGATTCGAGATCTATCTATACGTTTCGTAGTTCGACTGATTTGGGGAATGTCAAGAGATCAGATCGATTTGTTGACAGGGTCTTAGGGGTTTACGGTCTTAGTCCTCTAGGTTTTCGAAATTCGATTCCTTTACATCAGATTTCGCTTAATTCTTTGTCCTACTGCGTTTTACGATCTTTAGTCCTCTGGTTTGTCAAATTCTCTGTCTTTTCATCTTCTTCTGAGTTTTAATGGTTGATCTTCAATTTCTTGGCCACAATCTTTTGAATTTGAGACTCTTGACTTGTCCTCTGTAGATTGGTTTTATGTTTGATTTCAATTCCTTGCTGAACTAGATTAACTTTCTGATACGGAAGTTTTCCTTTTAATGGTTGGTGTTTCCTTTTTCTGATAAATATGGATGAAGATCGATTGTGATAATCATGTAAGAATATAAGAGAGCTTTTGTTGTTATATAGGTTTTACCTGAGGGAAGAAAAGTCTTTCTCTTTGGGACTTAAACTCCAACATTATCATAGTTGATTTCTGTTTATGAGATTCATTCTGTTTGGTTCGTTTCTCTTATAGCAGTAATGAAATCTCATTGATTGAAAGCTACGATCTTGTGATGGTATCATGGAAGTTGTGCTTGAGAAATACTTGGATTCTTGTGAAGAATAAGAACAGTTGATTAACCTTCTTAATGCTTGTTTAGGGCACAGAAAGAATGGAAGAAGAGTATGAGAGTCGTCGAGTTCGGAGATGGGAAGAGTTGGACACTGACATCTTAGTAAGAATTTTCCAGAAGTTTAGCGTCTTTGAGTTGACTTCAGGATTAGCTCATGTTTGTAGAGGATGGAGAGCTGCTTGTTGCGATCCGATTCTATGGAAGACTCTTGATCTGTCTCACATGAGATCTAGTTTCATCAAGATCCCATTAGAGCCTTATGTGTATGTGGAACGCCGATCTGATGAGGCCCTGACCCGTATCCTGAAACTCTCCATGAACCTTAGCGGAGGAAACACGAGGACCTTGATTTTTCATTTCAACTTGTTCTTGAGTGATGATCAGCTTACTTACACCGCTGAAAGGTATGTCTTTTTTGTTCTTCCACTAATTTGTCTTCCAAATTGTTTCATCATAGCCGTTAACTATGGGTTGATCTCTGTCCAAAATCATCACTCTTTCGATTTGTTGGTAGAACAGAAGTTTGGTTTAGTTTGGTTATTAAAAAAGTCACTACTCACCAGCTTTTAGTCAAAATTTGGTTCAGTCTCTTAGTCGAAATTGCTGAATTACAATTGAGTTGACTCTTGGAAATGCTAAAAATTCACAAATTTGTTGTATTGAATATTTGCAGGTGTCCAGGGTTGAGACGGGTGGTCCTACCGGCTTGGAACAGAATAAAGAAGACTGGTATATGCAAAGCGATAAGAATCTGGAAAGATCTTGAGTCACTAACAATGCCGAGCATCGCAAACCCGCCTTATCTCTTAACAGAAATCGCCAAGAACTGCAAGAATTTCAAAGAGCTGAAGATCATGGGTCCATTCGAGGTCTTCTTTGCAAACACGCTCATCACTTGCCTCCCAAACATCAAAACCCTCAGCATCAGATGCTCGGCGATAAAGCGGGAAGCACTCATGAAAATCCTTGACGGATTACCAAGCCTTGAAGTGCTCAACATATCACACTCTCACCTAGTGGAGTACAGCGGTTGGCAACCGCAGCAGAAAGTGATTGTTAGAGAGCTGGATAAGACGATAATGGAGAAAACAGCGAGGCTAAAGAAGTTCTTGACTTGCATGGAGCACAAGACGTGTGTGATGTGTCAGAGGACTGAGAGTGATGAAGGGATTGTGAGATGGTATAAGTATGAGGAAGGAGACTGGAAGGTTGATGAAGTGAGTTCTCTTCATCTTTGATGGGTGTTGTGATTTTTACTCTGTGAAGGACTTAACTTCTTCTTGTTCATCTTTTACTGTTGAGTTTGTGGGTTGTTTTGATTTGAATCGTATTATGTGTATATATGTGTAGGCAATGCCAATGTTTGTATGTTGTGATCAACTTTTGATCACCAACCTTGACACCAGATAGGAAAATAAAACAATAATCTTTCAATATTATTATTTTATTTTGGTTTTTCTTGATAATTTTTGGAACTTACATAAACAGCAAAATAAGTAATTGAAGATTTTAGTCACATTTATTTAGCAAATCATCAACCGATTTCTTACCTACCACTCTTCTCCGACGGCATTAACGACACCGTTTTATCGAACTCAGCCACCACTAGTTAGGTGTAACGATATATTCTTAAAAAAACGTTTAGAAAATTTGTAATAATATTTCAATTGTCACACGAAGAAAACACATATTTTCAGAATAAAAAAAAAAAAGTACCTCTAGAAATATATTTATTTTTCTAATTGTGTTCGTCTTTGAACATCAACGGTCATTTATGGACGACGACTGTTAAAAAAATCGTTTAAAATTCTTTGTTGCGTAATTGACCATTTTATTTTATTTAATACCACCAAAATTCAAGATATTATAGTATGTTTTAATTCTCGATCGCAAATAAATCATAAAATCTGAAAATTAAAACACAAAACGTTACTCTTCTCTCTCTCGCTCTCTTCTCTCTCTCGCCCTCTTCTCTTCGCTTCTCGATAGCTCTCAAATCATGGTTGTGCAAATATGGGAGACGTTGAAGGAAACAATCACAGCTTACACTGGACTTTCTCCAGCTGCGTTTTTCACCGTACTAGCTCTCGCTTTCGCCGTTTACCAAGTCGTCTCCGGTTTCTTCGTTTCTCCTGAAGTTCACCGACCTCGTTCTTTGGAGGTTCAGCCTCAATCGGAGCCTCTTCCGCCGCCGGTTCAGCTCGGAGAAATCACTGAGGAAGAGCTTAAGCTTTATGATGGCTCTGATTCTAAAAAGCCCCTTCTTATGGCGATCAAGGGTCAGATCTATGATGTTTCCCAGAGCAGGTATTACTTGAGAAATGAGAATCTTTACTTGTTCATGAAATTATGGTTTGAATCCAAATGATCTCAAGTTTAATTACCAGAAATAAACGATTTAATCCAATAGTTTCGAGATTTAGGGTTTAGGTTAGTTAATTATGTGAAAATTTGGGGATTTTGTTTGATTGTTTGATTATAATACCATTAGAAAACTTCGTCGTGGTAATTAGGTTTTGGGCTAGATGAGATAATCACTTGAGTGATCATACCATTTTGCTTGTTCATAGTGCTGACATACACAGACACACTCATCAACGCACATACATGTCGATGTATATGTATGCATAACTTGTTTTTTCTTGTACATAGTTCATCAGCTGTACTACATATCTATATGAATCATATTCACATGTCTCAAGCTGTAGTTTTTCAATCTTCAAACTCTACTTAACTCTTACTACTGGTCATGCAGGATGTTTTATGGACCAGGTGGGCCATATGCTCTGTTTGCAGGGAAAGATGCAAGCCGAGCTCTGGCAAAGATGTCATTTGAGGATCAAGACTTGACTGGAGATATCTCAGGTCTTGGTGCATTTGAGCTAGAGGCGTTACAAGACTGGGAATACAAGTTCATGAGCAAGTATGTCAAAGTCGGCACCATTCAAAAGAAGGGTGGAGAAGACAAAGATAGTTCAGAACCTTCTGAAACAAAGGCTACCTCTGCGGAAGGTCTGTCTACAAACACTGGAGAAGAAGCTCCCGCAGTTACCCATGATGAAACTTCTAGAAGCATAGACGAGAAAATCGCGGAAACCACGGACAAGAAGGATGTCGCAAATGATGATGCTACTGCGAAGGAGTAAAGTCAATGTGATCAGAGGCACACTTTCTCTTGAGAAATTAGTGAGATTTTTCAGGGTTTATGTATGAGTCGTATATAGCTGAAGGTGGAAGAAGCAAGCTCAATAAAAATGGTGACTTTGTTTGTACTTTTTGGATCTTATAATGACTTCTAATTCTGGTTATGGAAGCTTCAAATTACATTATTTCTACAGTAATATATCGATGTTTATTTTTATTATATCAAAAATGGAAAATAACTCTATAATATAAGAATTTTCAGGGTTTGTTCACTTTGTTGTTTATGCTTATGAGCATACTTGACTTCCTGCTATGTGCCTCGTAATTGAAGATGGTTCAGTTCCAAGAATCGAAGCACCAACAATTTTTTCTTGTATTATTTGGTATAAGTAGAAAAAATTCATGATATTATGTCTGAACATTTTTACCACAAAGTCTATAGGGAGTACTACTTGAATCTAAAACCCATCCTTGAATCTTAAACTCTGGTTTCGATTTTTGTAACAGAATCACGGCCTTCTCATGTAACAGAATCACGTCCTTCTCATGTAACAGAATCATGTCCTTCTCATGTCAGTATGTTTTAATTTCTTTGCATCTAAATTCACAATGAAGAAGAAACATATTACAATTTCTGTAAGTTAAGACGTCATTACCATTACCACTAAGAATATTGTGGGAACATAAAATAAAAATACAATAGCAAACAAATCAAAATTTTGTTGATGGCCAATCCCCCATTGATTCATAAGCGTTGTAATCATCTCTAAACGTATCTATTCAGTGAAGTGTTATCATGTCTCTGACTCCAAAATGTATGGAGGATACAAAATTTATATTAATTCTTACCTATGCCAAATTGTATGCTTCAGAAATTTGTAAGAGGAAATGACAAACAAAAACAGGCATAACTATATATATGTGCATAAATGGATGAACTTGAAAAGGTCAATCATAATTTCTCTGTGCTCTGTTTTTGCTTCCACTCCCATTATGTCACCACTTCACCACTGAAGCAGAAAAAGGAGAATAATTAAGGGGTCCCATGGAATGTGCACATACACAATATAAAGACCAAATTGAATGGAAGAGTAAGATAACTGATTTTGTTAAGTAGGTGGTTAAAGAAAGTAGATTTGAAACACATTATTTTGGATACCTGAGACCTCTGAAGCCTTTAGAAACCTGAAATATACAATACATGGCATGGCATAGATGACCATTTTGTAACTAAACCAAGTCGTAAATATGAGTAAGTTTTATTGTAGAAACTGGAGTCTAGTGTATTGAACCTTTTAATTATAAAGAAAGAAGCACGTAAAATGAAAAACTAAATGGAACAAAGTAAAGTGCCACTAACATCTCGATGATAAACTTTGTGTAAATTATTTCTGATGGATCCCACTTTAGTTTTATGAGGTTAGGTGCTTATGATTCTTGAATGTCGAACAAACGCTTGCCATTGCCATTTCCCATCTGCATATATACATGATACATCAATGCAAGTGAGAAGACGTGTTACATTTTAAGTATGAATCGTAGACAATGTTATAAAGTATACTTGGTGAATAGAGTTTTAGAGAAAACGAACCTACGAGAGTGTACTGGAATTTCAATTGTAGAGAAATTGAATAGCATGTTTTTAAATCATTGAAAAGAACTTACCTATGCGGGAAGCTAACTCTAAAACCATAAAATGAAAAGAATATAACAAATCATGGATGTCAATCTCCAAACCCAATCTAGTCCTTTTAAAGGGCTTCGTTGAGACCATAACATCATATGTAGCTATATATATATTCCAGAAAACCAAATCAAAACTTACGTTTGGATCTTTAAATCAAAGAGAGACACGCAGTTAAGGAAAATCTTGGTGGGAATTGTTTGTGATCTGCTTATCGTATCAATCTCGTTCGGATTCATGACCTTCTCGTCGATCATCCCAATTGTAAAACAATATCGTGGTTATGTCGGAAACTGAGTTTCTGACAGAATTGAAAAATGATGCGTGATTGGAAGGCAATTTCACTATAGAGCGTGTAAAGCTAGAAGATTTTTAGATGATCAAATCTTAATCTAGCGAAAGAGTGGTGAGGTGCTCTGAATTTAATTGATTTATGTGGATTCATGAGAACATGGAAAGTGAAAACCAACGTTACAATCAATTGTGGGAATAGGGATCGACGCTCCTTCCTTCAAACCTAACGTATTATTACCCATTGCATCACAATTTGATTTTGCGAAGAGTTCTCGTTGAAGAAAATAGAAGGTGATGTGGCAGATTACGAGGAAAGTGATGATGTGGATGGCTTGAGAGGCCTCAATTAGTAGTAAGAGATTTTCAAAAATTAATTTTCTATGTTTTCTAAACATATTTTGTAATCAATTAGGAATGGTATACCGTATACCACGTGTTCACGTTTTGGAAAAGTGGTTTTGATATATTTTACAATTCAAACTATTTATCAAATTTTTACGTTTGGATAAATGATTCCGCTATATATCATTAGCATGTTAAAAATATAACTAGTAAAAAAAATATGACTAATTTACTAAAACTAACTTTTTGACGTTTTATATGTCGTGGAGCTCCACTCTCAAAATACCAAGGCTTGGTTGTACCAGCATCATCGGATATAGGTATAGGCGACATGAAAATACAGATTGGATTTTGCAATGTAGACTTGTAATTCTCTTATTTGATGTGGATAGAACCTTCCATGTTTCAACAGTTTCTTCAATTTACATATCTGTAACAGTACTTTTGTAATGACGACCACAATAATAACACTCATATTCAGATACTGCTCTGTGATAGTAATTCTGATTTTGATGTTGATGCCTTACTTGAACAAATCTTGTATTGGTGATCAATTCTTCAGTGTGAAACAGCTTCCAGCTTGTTCCAGCAAACGTGTGCATCCTTAGAACTCTTAGTACAGTATGCACTTATAGAAGTTTCTTATACGTAATGTAAAACTGGCTTAGGTTTTTGTTGGGCCCGTTGTTTGCCATAGCAAGGATCTCTCTTGCATTGTGTTGCAAGAAAAGATAATGGCATTAACAAGAGAAAAACACTTTCGAGAAGAGATCTAAGTCTTTTACCTTGAGAGAATCAACAATATCATTGTCAACGTCTTTGCCCCAAATGTTGTTAACTCCCTTGCCAAGACTAGTAAGATCACCACTTTGGATAACAAAACCGGCAATATTTCCATGAAAAGTAGTGTTGTTATAGTAAACTTGAGCAGATAGTCCCAAATAATTCTGCAAAAGCAAAGATAAATGTTAGTAAAAAGATTAAAAAAATATTTCATTCAATCAGAGATTACCTCAGCAGTTTTCGGAACTTGAGCACAAAAGATTTGGCAATCTAATGTCTCCAAGGCTTGTGTGGAGTGTTACTTGCTTATTTGGAATAGCATCGTGTTGAGTAGAGTTGGCATGTTCTTTAGATTCAAAATTCTCTAGATAACGTTTGTAAACAAAGATCGTGTTAGATTTTCTCCATGTCTCTTCTGGTCTCTTTGCAGACCAAGAGAGATTAGAATCAAGCAAAATCTTGCTCCAATAAGATGTGGTTTTTCAAGATAATTCTTTTCAACATAGCTTAAAGAGCCACGACTTCAAACCAAAAAAAATTAAAACACAATTTAACAACTGAAACATAATTCTACAATTAAAGAACACAAAAAGGGAGGGTTTTGGTATTACTTTTTATAAGCTCCTTCTCTAAATCGGCTACCAATTTCAATGTCAAGCGCTTTGAACGCTTTTCGTTCATACCGTTTCTCTTCAATCTATCAAAATCAAGAGAATAAAAACTTCTAATCACTTAGAAAAGAGAACAAAATCGCGGAAAATTAGGGATTCTAGAGAGCTACATCCTTCTTTTGATCATCGGAGGTTTTGCCTTTATCACCTTCCATATCGAGAATATATCAATACCAATGGAAAAAATCTCAGCATGTATAAAGGCGTTTTTTCAAAATGAACACATGAAGGCGTGATTAAGTGACATATACCAACAACTAAATATATTTCCTCTATATATTAAAAGAGAGTTTTTTGTGATAATGTGTCAAACCCACAATTTTTAGAAACTTTTTTATTTATTTAATTCTACCATCTTTCTTACCAAACACTTTTAATTCCACATAGTACTTATTCTTATTAGCTAAACTTACTAAAATTAAATATCACGGATTTTTGAATAAGAAAGTTTATAATTTTTTTAATTAATATCAAATTCATTGTGTTTTTCTATTGAAAAGTAAACAATATAAATATATATAGTTTATGCATTTCAACATCAACAATTCTTTCATATTTTATAAAGATTAAATTGAAACCGAAAATCTATAAGCATGAACTTATGAATGACGTAAATGAAACTTTATTTGTATAATATAAATCATTCAAATATTTAAAATTGAATTGGTAAGTTTATTGTGGACTAAACGGTTGTGTTATTGCATGATATTTATATAGTATTATTTTAATTTAAAATATTTTAATGAATATATATTTTTTGGTTTTGATATCTCGCGATTCAATGATAAAAACTTGGAGTTTTTGTAAAATCATTTTATAAAATAAAAAAAATCGTTCTTATTTTTCATAACAAACACTAACTTTAATAAATTAGTCAAATGATGTGTTAGTAAAATAATCTTGTTACTGTTTTTTCAGCGAAATTAATCTTGCTACTTAAATAATTGAGAAACTAAGTCATGTTACTGAAAAAAATAATATTCTCTCTGTTTCGTTTTAGTTGTCGTTTAAGGTTTTTTCACACAAATTAAGAAAGGGAGACTCACAAAAATGCCCTTTTTTCAATACCCCTTTTCAAAAATGCCCCCTTTGGATGTCCATTTTTAAAAATACCCCTTTTATGTACAAAATGACTAAATTACCCTTCTTTTAATAAAAGATATCATAAATATATAAGGAAATATAACAAAATTAGGTCCACAAAATACAAATATTTTTTGGCGGGAAAAGTGATCCCCCAATTTTTCCCGCCAAAACACTTGTAAAAATTTGTAAAACCTTTAAAATACCTTGTAAAATTTTCCCGTAAAATTTTTTCCCGCCAAAAAATTTTTTTTGTTGGAAAAGTGATTCCGCAATTTTTTTGGCGTTAAATTTTTGGCGGGAAAATTTTTCCCGCCAAAAATTTACAAGGTATTTTAAAGGTTTTTTACAAGGTATTTATAAGGTTTTACAATGTATTTTAAAAGGTTTTACAACGTATTTACAAGGTATTTATAAGATATTATAAGATTTTACAAGCTATTTTATAAGGTTTTTACAAGTTATAAGGTTTTACAAGTTTGTTATAAGGTTTTAGAGTAATGCATACCTTATAAAACCTTAAAAGTACCTTGTAAAACCTTTTAAAATACATTGTAAAACCTTACAAAACACTTGTAAATACCTTAGAAAAAACGTTTAAAATACCTCGCAAAGTTTTCCCGCCAAAAATTATCTCGGCAAAAAAATAACGATAGAAAAAATTGCAGGTCCCCTGTTCCCGCAAAAAAATTTGTCTGGTTGCCAAAATCCTTGGCGGGAAATATTTTTACGGAAAAACTTAACCAGGTATTATAAAAGCTTTTTACAAGGGTTTTACCGAAAAATTGCCGGAACCCCTTT